CACTATATTCATATCGTTTCATTCCCAACGCTTACCGTCAACTCTCTAATAGTTATTAGGAACTTCTGAAAGTTATTTTTCAGAAGATTGGACATTGGAAGCTTGAAGTTGATAGGGGTGACCGTACGTTGAACGTTCGTTGAGACGTTATCTTTTCACGTTCTATGTTCATCATCGAATATAAGGTCTGTACCTTGCGTTAGATTTGTCAAATCATTCATCACATATGTACATGTATTTGTATAGATAAGTTCATATGTTAAAAAAACATATCCAAATATATATATGTGATACATATATATTTCATCTATGTGTTGAGATCAAAATACACCAAATCCATAAAGTTAATATATACATAATAAAATATAAATCAACCCAACAACATGTGTATGTTAATCAAAGATGTTTAAAAGACTTAAAGAAGTAATTTAGACACTCAAAAATATCAAGAATAAGTTTCGCAGACCTGAACAGTCGACGCAAACGGTCGACCGTGCTATTAATTTCCAAAATGGGCTACGACTGTCAACATAACGGTTGACCGCCGGAGCCAAACGGTCGACCGTCGCAGCCCAGCCGAATGCAGCAACACTGAAGGTAGTCAACAACGGTCGACCTCCGATCAACCACGGTCGACCGTCACGGTGATCTAAAGCTGACGAAATGAATTTGACGCACGGTCGACCGTTCCTAGACCAGTAGCTTAATTAAATGATATTTTAATCAAGTTTCAACAAAATAAACTCATGTATGATTATATAGTCATTTTGTTTGCAAATTGTTCATATCATATCATTCATTTCATCATTCATATTGAAGCATATCACATCATATGCATGCGTAAGAGATCATGCCTCGTGCGTCTCTTATAGCGTGATTGTGCGGGACTTAGCAGTCCGACATCACACATTCGGGCTTAGTGTACGTACATGGTATTCAGGCTTTTGAGTACCACCCCCATATTGTTTCTAGTCTCATCTCATTCGTGAGACTAAGGTGGCGTGAGTTCGTCATACAAACTAGTTGGATCTCATAGCGCAAGGGTCGTCCTTGCACGTTAGTTTCATGCATCATGTTATCATCATCAAGTACAATTATATTGATTACATAGGTGTCATGTAATCATCATCAAGAACAATCAAATTGATTAAATGTGAAATCATGTTATCATTATCAAGTACAATTATATTGATTACATAGGTCGTCATGTAATCATCATCAAGAACAATCATATTGATTAAATGTGACATCATGTAATCATCATTAAATATTTATCATCATGAACAGTCAAATGGATCATATAATATAATGTGCCATATAAAAAATATTATTATACATTTTTGTGGACGTATATATATGTATATGTCTGTGAATTATTTTACAATTCTAGCGTGGTAACACTCAGCAATTTCGCTGAGCGTGTAGTTTGTATTTTTCGTTGACTACACGTAGGTAACAAGAAGATAATGACGGAACCACTCCCGGAGGGCAATGAATCAGAGGAGATGCAGGGATTGCAGGCAAATGTTTGATCATCAAGATTTTAAATGTGTCGTGATTTGATTATTATTGTACTTCCGCATTACTTCGAAAATATTTTTAAATGGGTCGCGATCTAGTGTCTGTAAATTTAACATTTTATAAGAAATTATCATTTTCAAATGTCAAGAGAAATTTTAATTTAACTCTGGTTTCACCTTAATTCGTGTAATTCCGGGTTATACGGATTAGGGTGTTACAACAAAATTCCATGACAAAGGAATCAATCTTCAACAAAAGCTTATGTTCAAGAGAAAATTTCCAAGGACAATCCTCACGGGCCTTCATTCAAATTGAAGCCAGCAAACGTTAGGTTAATCTATTCCCTTCAACGGATAGATTAAACCAGCCATCCACCTATATATAGCTCCTACAGAAGATTGAATAAAAAAGAACCTACCATCAATCACAGTTAAGTAAGAGTGAAAAATCCTCAAAAGCTTGATAAAGATAGAACCTTATCCAGAAGCAAACTTTTCCTTCTTCCAAAGAGCTATAAGTGAAAATACTTGAAGGTTTCCTTGCCTCAAGTACAACACCAAGTTGAAGGATATATTTTTAATCAAACATCTTGATTAAAATGGGGCACATCAGTTTTCTTACAAACTGATCTTGCAAATCCTATTGTTCGGACCTTGTAGTTGGTGAAGAAGCTTGGCCTTTAAAGGAACAACAAAGCCAGCACGAGTGCAGTAGCAACATTTGCTTTGCAAAGATATACCGTGCATTCACTATTGTAATTATTGGTTCATTATAAACAACCAATTACCTAGTGGATTTTGAGGACGTAGAAGGATTACCCTACCTTCAAGCCTCGTTAAAGTTTGTGTGTCTCTCTCTCTCTATCTACTTATTTTTGTGATTATATTAATTGTGAAACTAACCAACCATATTAATTACTGCTCCAACAATCCACCAACTTCCGCACATTTAATCTAAGTCCTTAAGAACTTTAGATTAACAACTGTTTCACGTTTTCAAAAAGAAATGAAAAAGTTTTTAAATTTGTAAAAGAGTCTATTCACCCCCCTCTAGACTTTGTATCTCATCACTTCGGGGACCATCAAGAATTAACGGTTACTTTTTAATTAAAGTCATGCACTCAAGTTAAAATAATTTAACAATATGTAATTCATATTTTCTCGAAAACAATTCATGAAAAAATGATAAAAATAATCTAAACTATCGTTGGCATGTTTCAAATTAAGCTTTAACAAAAATGTTTGTTACCAAACATATTTGTAATAATTCACAATTACAAAATAAAATTATTATTTTAATGTTATTTATAATATTTTCTAAAACAAGTCTAATTTTTTTTTTATTAAAATAAATTATAATAAATAAAGATAATCATCATCGTTAATCAAAACGCTTAATAATTATAACTATAATAATAATTAACAAAATTATTAAAATAATAAAGATAATAATAATAATTAATGATTACCAATATAATTATTAATAATAATAGTTAGTATTTTGATCCTATAAATAATAAATATTAAGAACTATTAATAAGAAATTATTATTTTTATTGTCATGTATTACAACAAATAATGATAGTCATTGTCAATAATCATAACACTAAATATTAATAACAATAATATTATTGAATTATAATAATAATATTAATAAATATAATTATTAAACTAATAATGATAATAATAATAATAATTAAAATAATAATTATTGATTATTAAATAATTTTATTGTATTACATTAATAATAATTATAAATAATATTCATTAATAATAATTATTAGTTATACATAATAATAAATTATTATTATTATTATTATAATTATTTAAATTTGAAATAAATCCATTCAGGTCATATCAGATTCATGAAAATAAGATCAGATCCATTCAGATCAGATTGGAATAGATCCATTCAGATAAGATCTAATCTGATCCATTCAAATTAGATCAGATCTATTAAAATCATATCAGATCAGATTCATTCCGTTCAAATCAGATCAGACTTAAAAAATTCAGTTCAAAATAGATTAGACCTACCGAAGAGAACGCAACCTAAGTATAGGTTAAGGGCACTTATGTTCATTCTATAAATGGTAAAAAGATATTAATTGGCCTTAAATTAAGAATAGTCTAAGAGCACTATTGTTGATATCACAAATGATATTTGATGAATACTGAATGATGTGAATCATGTATTAATTGCATTATCCCATATGATTTGGTTATTAATTGTGACTATATCTATGTGTATAATCTATCTATTAGATATCCTCACTTAGTTTCACCACTCAGTTTCACCACTGAGCGGGTTAAGATGTTACATACTTGACATTGTTGACCCTTGTGTTTTGATAATTGCAACCATGCATATGGGATGAGCTTTGGATTTGGATCTTTTCATGTGGATTGCCTAGCACGTTGCTTAGAGATTCAAGACAAGATTTGAAGATTAAAGGTTTTCTAGATTTTTTATTTCTTTTGAGTCTTAGTTCATGTTAAAGTGTTTGGCACATCTTTATTCTTCAAATACTTTGTTTTTCTTACAAGAATTTCTCTTTGATTGTTTTCAAAACCCTTTCTCAAAACCTTTCTTCATAAATGTTTCTCCCCAGGTTTTTATTCGAATAAATCAAGATTTATTCGAATAAGAAGGACTCCTGCAGATTGCAGCTCGGTCTGTTTTAATCGAATAAATGGTTATTTATTCGAATAAGTAGCTTCCCAGAATTTCAGTTCACCCTGGTTTATTCGAATAAATCTAAGATTTATTCGAATAGGAACTGCGTTTTCTAAATTCCTGTTTTATCAAAACTATTCAAATAAATGGTGTTTTAGTCGAATAAATCGACAGTTTTCACAACTAACGGTTAGTTTTTAAATTCCCGTGGAGGTTTCTTCGGCCCTATCCATATATACTCAATCTAATTTAATTTTTCAATATACAAGAACATACAAGAACCTTTAAGAACATTGACAATTGCTATCCTTTGAGAATTTCAAAGAGTTTTATTGAATCAAATCCTCTTACTCAATTAATTCAAGCATTTTCTTGAGCAATCCTTCATATTGAAGTTTGGAGAGTCTTTTGTGCCATACACTANTTAAAATAATTCAAGTTTTGGATTGAAATCCAAAGTCTTGTGAAATCAAGACTTCGGTGGAAAGGTTAGAGGCTTGTGAAATCAAGTTCTCGAGTTGTATTCGGATTGTTAAACTCCGTTAAGTTTAACAAGGATTAGTGGAATCTCGGGCACGTTTGCCTTGGGGACTGGACGTAGGCATTAGGCCGAACCAGGATATATCGTTGTCTCCTCGCTTTCATTGTTTCCGTTAATCTTTTATTTTATTCCTGCGCTTTTTCTTCTTTAAACGAAAAATTTTATCATTTTCGTGAACACCTCTATTCACCCCCCCTCTAGAGGTGTGAAAGGCGTCTAACAATTGGTATCAGAGCAAGTTGTTTTCCATTATTTTACCGCAGGAAACACGATCATGGCCGGAAGAACATTTCAAGAAGGAATATCCGAGGGACAATCAACTACTCGTCCTCCACTTTTTGATGGAACAAACTATGCTTATTGGAAAGAAAGAATGAGAATATTTGTTCAATCAAACGACTATGACTCTTGGATGGTGATCAAATACGGAGACACTACTCCATACAAAGTTGTTGATGGAATTAAAGTACCCAAATTGGAATCTGAATTCGATAATGGAGACAAGAAGAATGTGATGCAAAATTCCAAAGCCATCAACTATCTCTATTGTGCGGTCAATCCTGATGATTATAGAAAGATTTCACGATTCAAAACCGCTAGTGAAATGTGGACAAAGCTTGAGGTAACTTATGAAGGCACCTCGCAAGTGAAGGATGCTAAAGTTGATTTGTTGCTTCATGAATATGAGCTATTTTCAATGAAAGCAAATGAAAGTATTGATAGTTATTTTGAGATATTCTCAAATATTATCAATAATCTTGACACTCTCGGTAAACACTACACTGATCATGATTTAGTTCGAAAAATCCTACGATGCATGACTCTCGAGTGGAAATCCGAAGTAAGAGCCATTAGTGAAGGAAGAGACTACAACACCTTGACATATGATACACTAAGGGGAAAGCTACTCACCTATGAGACATCTACTCTTTATCCTCCGGTTGATAGCAAGCAAAGGAAATCTATTGCACTAAAATCTACCAAGGAGATTGAGGAAGTGAGCCATGATGAAGACTCAAGTGATACGGAAGAGAATCCCGAACTTGCACTTGTTATCAAACGCTTCAACAAATTTGTCAAGAAGAATTTCAAGCCAAGAAAGGACAACTCCAAGAAGTCCACACCACCCAAATGCTATGAATGCGGTGAAGTGGGACATAACAAGCCGTATTGTCCTAAGTTGAAACAAGAGAAGGACAAGAAGTTCAAGAAGAAGCAAAAGGCCTATATTTCATGGGACAATAGCAGTACATCTTCCGAAGCTAGCAATGATGAAGAAGAAACGACAAACTTATGTCTTATGGCACTTGAGGATGAGGTATCATCTAGTTCTTATTCTAATCCTTTATCTACTTCTGATGATTGTTTTTCATTGGATGAGTTACATAGTGCATTTAGTGATCTTTATGGTGAATTTATCAATTCCACCAAAGAAGCTAAATTTGCCAAGGAAAATGTCACCTCTCTTGAAGCTAAAATAATCGAACTTAATAAAGAGATGGAATTATTAAAATTGGAGAATAAGAAACTTGGCAAAGTTAGTGTTGATTCACCTTGTGCACAATGTAAAATTCATGAAAAGGAAATAGCTAGCTTGCATGAGCATCTAGGAAAATATAATAA